GATACCAAGCACCCCAACAGCCATACTGGAGGCAAGAGCTATGTCATCTAGAGTAATTATAAGGTTAAACAGCATATTTCTAAGGTTTTCAGGCCCAAGTATAACAACTTCCTTTTTGTCAGAGTTTAGAAGTAAGAAATTACAGGTGGGAGTTTGGATACTGGTCTATAATTAGATAGAACACCTGGGTCAAGAGTAGGCTTTTTGAGTTGAGGTTTAATTACAACAACCTCAAAGGCCTGTGAAACGTAGCCTGTTAGTAGAGAGAAATTAATCAGATCTAATATGGATGTGTTGATTAGGGTTAAAAAGTCTTCGAGCAGCCTGGGGTCTAAGAGACATGATGATGATTTAGATAAAGCAGTTACTGAGGTCAACTTGGAGAGAACTATGGGAGAGAAGCAGTCTAAATATAAATGAAGTCTGACAGATGTTTCTAAAGCTGTTGCACTTGATACATCTGTGAGAGTTGTGGGAAGGATCTGATTAATTTTTTCCTCTAATAGTTGTGATTTTATTTGTAAAGAAGCTCATGAAGTCATTGCTGCTGAGATCTAAGGGGATGTTAAGATCAACAGCACTGTGGCTCTTTGTCAGCCTGGCTACAGTGCTGAAAAGAAACCTGGGGTTCTTATTTTCTTCTATCAGTGATGAATAAAATGCGGTTCTGGCACTACGAAGGGCTTTCTTATATGTTATTAAACTATCTTTCCAGGCTATGAAAAACTCTTCTGACTTAGTGGACCGCCACCTTTACATTAAACTCACAGCTCCTGACATTTAACCCTATAAACATTCCCTGTCTTACTGTAGGTCAGTTAGGATCACTATTGTAAGAATGTGAAATGGCAGAATAATGGCAGAGAAAAAGATTTTCTTTCAGGTTTTATTTCTCTCATCACATTCCCAGTGGGTCAGAAGTTTGCATACACTCGGTTAGTATTTGGTAGCTTTGCCTTTACACTGTTGAACTTGGGTCAAATGTTTGGGATGCCTTCCACGAGCTTCTTTCAATAAGTAACTGGAGTTTTAGCCCACACCTCCTGACAGAACTGGTGGAACTGAGTCGGGTTCGTAGGCCTCCTTGCTCGCACATGCTTTTTCAGTTCTGCCCACAAATGTCCTGTTGGATTGAGGTTGGGGCCTTTGTGATGGCTGCTCCAATACCTTGAGTTTGTTGTCATTGTCCATTTGGACAAGACCCATCTGTGACCAGGCTTAACTTCCTGGCTGATGTCTTGAGAAAGGCTTAACTTCCTGGCTGATGTCTTGAGATGTCACTTCATTATATCCAGATAATCCTCCTTCCTGATGTCAGCTGTATCTTAGAGACACTTTTTCAGTTTCCTGTGAGAAGGAAGCAGATGTTTGGCTGTAAAATCTGAATCATGCATGTTTTCTCCTCCAGGTGCAGACTGTGATGTGGATGCAGCTGCTCGCTTCATCGCCACCACCTTTGTCGCACTCAACGTCATGCCCAGCAAACTCATCTACCACCACTTCACCACAGCGACAGACACCACCAACATCCAGGTCGTCTTTCAGGTGGTTATGGACACGATAATCAGAGAAAACCTGGAGGCAGTGTCGCTCCTGTAACTGCCGGTTGAGGTCTGAGACCTCACTGGACAGTCGGTGCTTTCAACTTTTGGATATCTCATTTTAAAAAGACTTGGAGCAAAAGAAAAGGTATTGAACATGGTGATGATCATCTCATTCAAGTCTGTTGTCTAGTTTCTCATGGGTTGCAGCCTGGGAGCTGTAATGCTTTCTGCTACTGTTGCATTTCATCCCGTGTGATGCTGCTTGTCTTCAATCGCTGCACCACATGGTTTCACGCAACTCTGAGAAATGTATCAAAGCACATCAAAGGAGATGGACCACTTGGCCAATCCTTCATCCTGGGACTGAGCCCGAAAATGTTGAGTTGTGAAACCTTGCATTGAGAGTAATGGGCATTTCTATTTTTATACTGTAATATAAAATCGGTGTGCACAGTGACAGTAGTTTTGTTGAAGATGTGATATATATGTGACATTTATTTACCTGTCTCCTTCTGTGTGTGTGTGTGTATGTATGAGAAGGACAGAGGGGTTTGTCTGTTACTGCTTTGGCACAGGGCTCACTCATGCATACCATTGTGCGTTTTCCACTCATTCATCACCATGTCTCCGCTGTGCACATCCTGTGCGTCACACCCTCCTAATGAGGCAGTGATTGCTGTAAAAACACCCTAGTTTGTGTTTACACATCCTGAACTGAAATCACCTGCACCCTGTTCATTTTACTCTGCGCCTTCACTCGCTCCCCCGACTCTCACTAGTCAGCGATGATTGCTGAGAAACTTTTATGTTAGAAATGGGAAAAGGTAAGAATGTTAAGAAACATCCCTGAAGCCTCTGACATGTATTTCATTTCCTTCCTTTCACCTCTGATGATTATTGTTTCAATATTTGATGCACACACACACACACTCATAAACCCTGATTGTCAGGCAGGATGATGCCTTCTATGTGTGATTTGTGTTACACTAATTGTGCTGGGGACTGACTTGAAGGGTCCCCTGAGCACCTCTCTGACTCCAGTAATAAACAAGATGTGGTAATGACTGACAGTCTGATATGCATACTGAAGAACTCCCCCCAAGTGCCTTACAATGAAGTTGTAATGCTGCCATGTAATTAAAATGCATTAAATGTGTATGCCATTTTTATTTTCCTTATTTTTCCTCACTTTTGAATTAAGTCCTTATGTTTCATCCTGTATCTTGCCCTTAACCGTTCGTAGGTTGTTATATTATGATTTGTACTTTGTTGTTGCACTGGAACAGCAAACCATATTTCAGATTTCTTTAAAGACTTAAAAGGCTAAAAGTAACAAATCGAGGCAGTGCTGGGTCACTTGTTTATCCTGCTTCATTCCCCACTAATAAGACAGATATAGACAACAGAAGTTACCAGTGTTTGTTCATTTTAATAGATAAAATAAATAAAAGCGCTTTTCAGGAAATCTACTATGCAGTCAACTTTCTGGACATTTAATACATTTTGGCAACGGTGGTTACATGTCAGGGGTTTAACATTTAAGATGGGAAATCGTCTGGAAATAAAACATTTTTAGTTACCCCCAGGTTTTACACCCCCCAACCCCTAACCAAAGCAAAACTGGACAAGGTTTGTGTTTTTAAATAAGGAAACATTCAGAGTCAGCAGCGTCCATCAGAGATAATGATCGGGGTTTCCTCCGCACCATCACCCTCACCAGCTCCAACCCCCGTTTTACAGAGAAGCGCTTCCGGGGCTGGGTGAAGGACCAGGACCCTTTCAGCCGGTCCGTGCGGGACTCACGCGGACAGGCAGTCCAGGGAGTCCAGGGTGAGGAAGACGTCCGCCTTGCACTGGAAGGTGCCCGTCCCGTCCCGCAGCAGCTCGCAGCTCTTCAGGTCTGGAGAGATGTCCTTCACACAGAGGGCCTGCAGGAGGTGAACCAAGCGATGGGAAATGTTTACACTGGCAGTCCGGACAGTAAAAACTGATTTATAAAAAAAAAAAAACTTTATCAAATAGACTATCTCAGGAACACCTCAAACTGACTTTATAGGCTTGTATTTCATATATCTGTAATAGTCAAATTTTAAGGACTAGCTTATTTCATGTACCAGTACAGTATCAACGGGATATGGCCCCAATAAAAGAACAGTAGCAGTAGAACAGTAGTTTATTGGAGAAATCGTATTTTGTTATGTTGTTCATTTTATTCAGGTGTTTTCCTTGAATAATTATTTAAATGTAAAAAATATATTTAACCTGTCAATGGCAGTTTGGTCACCATTTGTTGATGCCTCTGACTGCGCTTTGACTTGCAGCGCTCACTGGTTTGCGCCTTTACGCACGAGTTGTTAATCTCTTGACAGTTTTTAACCAATCAGTTTGTTTCTACGTTTTTATGAGACCACATTATCAAAAGCTGATTTTTTTTTTTTTTTTTACTTTAAATAGGGTAGTTTAAACTTTTTTTTGCGCAGGCTCTTTAGTACTGAATGGAAATCCCTCCTTACCGCGCCTGTCTTCTTCAGTTAATCATAAGTGTAACAACGGGAACCCCCCAAAGAACAATATAGTTTGTAGTGCCTGTCTTCATTGTACTTACCATGCTCCTGAGGATGGAGATCTGCCTAGTATTTTCTGGGACCACGTTGTTACCCGCTGTTTCCCCGCTGTCAATCAGCGTCTCGTCGGACTCGGACCTCCGGACGTAAGGAGACCTCCTGATACCGGACAGCAAACCGGAGGCACGACCCACCGAGTAGTAACTGGGACCGGTGGATTGCTTGTACCAGGCTTCGACTGAATGGCAGGAGATGAGCAGAGACAGTCCGGCGCACACCACAGCAAACCTGACTGACAACTCCATATCTGGGACCGTCTCGGTAATTTTTACGCGGCGTATTACTCGTCTAATAATCGTCAGCGACCGACTTTGTTTTTCTGGGTATCTGGAAAACTTTCTACTGCTTATATAGACGAACTTGGCGACGTTGCTGTGACCCAGGACGTTCGTCAAATCAAAAATGAGGTGGGCGGATGATGACCCGTGTTTATGAAGGAGAAGAAAGACCAGTCCCTATTGATCCGTTTTTGGTGGTTTGGCGGAGGCGTGTGTGCGTGTGGCATAGAGCGTGAGGGGGTGGAAACTTAGGGGGACATCAGTCCTTTTTATCACGCTTGCAGACTGGTTCATTTCCAGATGAACCAGTCACTGGACACTTGATAAGATGAAGAGGTTTGAATTCATTGTGCCTGTACAACCACACGCAAGAAGGAAGCAGAAAGTGTTCAACAAAGCACAATCAGTGTGCATGACTTGGAGAATGGACAGATTAGGGTGAAAATATGAACAGATCAATAAACACAGATGCGTAACCAGTAGAACAGAAGAACAATGGTGATGGAGACAAAGACAAACAGAGATGCATCTATATTTGTGCAATTAAACAAAACAATTAGCCAGTTATGTATAATTATGTGGCCCGTCTATGAAACACGGTTATGAGGGAAATGTACCTTAAATATATAGAAACAGATAAGAAAGATCATTGGCCTGAATGATGAAACTATCCAGCAACAGTACTGTAGTGAAAACCACTTGATGAATAAAGGCAACCCAGGTTTTATTTCTGAGCATTTAAAGCAGCACTGACTTACAAAAACTATAAACATTTAGTTCATAAGATGAATGCGTTCATGTATGTGGACATCATGTCAATCAGGAGGAGTAAATGTACCATCAGAGTCCATTGTAGAGTGGTCTGCAGTGTGGCTCTAGTTTGTCCTCCAGGACGTAGTCTGGTCCACAGACCCAGGGGTCCCCGGTGTCCCACTGCCACTTCTGCAGACTCTGCCTCAGGTTTTCCAGCACATCACTGTAGGCCGGGTCTGACACCAGGTTCCTAGTTTCTAGTGGGTCTGTCCTGTTTGGTAATATTTCGACATTATGTACCAAAGTCATAAGTCAGTGTCTTAAATGGTAACATGGCAACATGAAGAGTAAAAATCCTGAAGTGAGGCTTTAAATCCAATTCACTACAACACTTTACTTTAGCCCCTCTAATTTCTAAGCACTACTGGTTTATAACGCATGATGTATAATGTAGCTATAAGCAGATACCTCCTGTGGAGAACCAGTTGTGGAGGCTGCTGATCAAACAAATAAGGAATGACAATACAGTAAAACACAGCTGCAGTAATATATAATATGTCTTCATAAGAGAAGATTTAATTGGTGACAAACATCGTACATTAACAAACACTTAACTGCTTACAACAATATTATAGAGCATTAAAAAAGGTCATTAACTGTTTATATGCTGATTATTAAGACTAAACAGGGGGACCTAAAGTAAAGTCTTTCCTAGTTTGTGACTGTGCTTAATGGTTTAAAATCAGGTTAAATTTATAAGAGAAATGAATTTCCAAAGCTGATTTGTCACTTCAACACAATATCTGCAATCAGTGTGATTATGTGCAGAGAACAGAGCTGACTGCTCGTCATAGAGATCTGACTCATCCTGGAGCTCAGTTCTTCAGCGCAGAGCACACATTTGTGCTCTTTCATTATATTAGATCACAGTCTAGCATAAGAAGCGAAGGCTGCAACTAATGATAATGTTTATTATCATTAAACCATTATGTGCTCTAGGCTTATCTCATTTAAATCAAGGGAAAATTCTGCCTTTCAAGGTCAAGTGTTGTGATTATTCTGCTTGTGACGGCATAATCTCAACTCATTTAACAATAGCTCCTCTAACATACTAAGTTCTGTCAATCTGAAACTATTATGAACACTGGAGCAACGGGAGTGTTAACAGCAGCTGAAACAGACCTGGTGTTGTACAGCTCCCAGCGCTCTCTGTAGTAGTACTGCTCCAGGCTTTTGAACCAGTGCG